TACTAAAAAAAATTCAGTCCGAGTCATTACATTTAGTGTAACATTTAATGACTAAATGTTTCCTTGACCCATATTAAAATGTTTCTTTCCCTTTTGCCAACTACATAAGTATTCGGTGAATTAATTGCAATTTAATTTGAATTACATTTACATTCCAGGAGGCATCTGGGACCCTTTGAGGTGTGTGGAAATGTAGTTTATAACAGTATAATTAATGCAGTGCTCAAGTTCTCTATGAAGAATGATATTTAAAATAATCCATTATGAGGATTGGTGCTATTCATTGCAATTCAAACATAAGCAGAAGATGTGAAATAAATTGCAATTAGGTAGTTGTAATCAGGCACCTGTTAAAATCTTTTTGGTAAGTTAAGCACAACTTACATGCTCAGTAAATGTAGCTCTAATGCATAGTCAAGTGATATTTGACTTGATTTGAAAAAGAGGAAGAACTATATTCATATGTGGTTAAAGTAGCCTTCTAAGTAATCTTCTGAAAGTGGTCTTCATAGCAATTTAACTGCAGAGGGGTAATTATGAAAAATTGTTATGTAGGAGATAAAGTTATAACACACAATTTACTAATGGCCACAATTTGTTAGCATGTTGGATAATAGCAGCCCATATAAACACATTAGGATTGTGCAAAGCTAGAACTTTGGGTTGAGTAAACCATGAATTAGTTAACCACTGATAAGTGTATTGTGCTAACATAACTGTTGTGTATATGTACATGTCCACTTCTATATCTCATTTCACTGCTATAATAAAGGAATGATCCCGATATTCAGTGCCATATATGCGGTCACAGGTTTTATCCTGAAAGAGTAGCTGCATGGGACATAAACAGCAAAAAGCAAATTGGGTCAGCATATGAAGTGATAACCCTTCGGAAAATGATTGAGTGATATAAGTATATGGTTGAATCAGTCTGTCAACATAACAGGGATTAGATCTCTGAAATTATATTTTGAATTAGGATAACTTCATGAAGTTAAATAATTTTCTATCGGAATAAATATAAAATGCATTAGACAATATTATAAAGATAATTTTAATTAGTCATACAATAGACAGCAAAGAAAACTTTTACAGATATCTCAGAAATTTGTGCAATGACATATTTTGTGAGATCTTGCCCTTCAGAGTGACAGTTACTGTATCCAGTAGCTAGGTATCCAGTTCCGAGTTGTGTTACAAATCAAAAGCTAATATATGAAGCATTAATTAAATGTTTCTTGTAGCTATTTTTGTAAAATTAGTGCTTATAGATTCACCAGAACAGAATACAAATTGCTATCTCTAACCAGCACAGAAGTTGTATGACATACTGATTTTTTGTGTGCTTTGTTGATCTTGTTACATTAGAAATGGGGAAAATACAGTATTATCCATTTTCAAATGATGTTCCAGTTCAAATCAATATTGTAGAATCAATTTAGCTAAAGAAAATTATATTCTACTATTCCATACTGCAGATATATATATATTTTGTTTCTCAGGTTCATTTTAGTTCTCAGGCAATACTGGATGATTCCCTGTCTACTATTCAAAAATTGCAGAAATCTATTGACAGACATCTAGGGTATGTATGTATGTATGTATGTATGTATGTATGTATGTATGTACTGAAACTAGCCAATATTAATGGTATGTTCTTCTGTATCCCTAATGCCTTCCATTGTACTTCACTTTATCTAGACCAGGGGTATCAAACTCGCGGTACATGGGCCAGGTGCATCATGTGCTGGCCACGCCCACACCCGGTTTAGCAAAGGGGGGAAAAGTCATGATACATCAGGTAATGTCGCTGTGACGACGTGAGTTTGACACCCCTGGCCAAGCACACTGCTTCAGAGGATTTGGAGATCTTATGGGATAGATTTTAGAAAGATATGGGAGTCCATAGGAGGGGCAGAACTGAAAATTCTGCTGCATAAGATATTTGCTTGCATAGCCATGGCTCTTGCCCATTTATAATTATTTGCCAAATTTCAGAATAAAAATGAACTTAGTTCAGTGAAAATGTTAACTAATATATGGTCCAAACTGCCTTGCTGTCTTCACCTATTTTTATAGAATTGCATGGCAAAAGACTATATAAATGGATTATCTTATCCATAAAGTATGGTACATTGCTGGAATACTGGAGGTATAACTTAAAATATGTGTTTTAAATACAAATAAGGTAAATGTCTTATCTTTGAACTGGCTTTGATTATTATGTTTTTTCATGTACAGCATTATATTTTTCATCAATTATTTAGAATAAGCTATAAAGTATCCCACCGTAGTTGGTCAGTAAATCAAATTCTCACAATCATTACACATATGAAAAACCCACTTGCTTTTGGTGGAATACATTTTTCCAAAAACCTTTTGCCCTCTCTGAAAAAAGGAACTTGTGGGCGACTTTGGGGTGGAAGGACACAGAAGCTTTATATATCCCAAAGAGTTGTGTTCAGAGACATAAACAGCTTAGTTCTTGCTAGCGTACCTCTGAATTAATTTTATATCTGCCTCAGATATTTTCCAGATTTTTTTTTCCGGGCATAAAGCCATTGGTGCAAAGCTGTCTTTAGATTATAGAAATGATTGGTCCTGAGGTTCAGAGTGCTTCAGAAAGATACATGAGGAACATCTGATACTCTACTAGGGGAATGGAGTTAGTCCTAAAAGAGCAAGTCAGAGCAAAATGTATAGAGACTAAAAAAGATTACTTTAATGGAGGTCCAGAATTTTTTTGGAAATGACTCCGATACTTCCTAATTCACTGGACTATAAAAATGAGGATCAAATATAAAACTGACACTTGCAAGATTGGTGTCAGCCCCACTAAGTAGACCAAACAAAGAATCAATCCTACAGGAAGGCTAAAACTACTTTTATTGAGATTGTCTAGAATAGCAGAACTTTGCCAGTCTGATCATTGCAACATTGGTGTTCAGAGGAATGACTTTTAGAAGGATATGTAACAGAAAAGAGGAAACATTTTTCTTGCAATTGTCCTTCTACTCAGATTCACCTAGGTGCAACTTTATGGTTTTGCAAATTCTCCCTGCATCTGGATTCTGATTTTAGCTTAAAAAAATAAGAAAGAAGATAAGAAACAGAGTAGGCAGAAATCTAATCAAAGTATTATTATTATTAGAAAATAAATCTGGAGAAGGTGGGGGAATATCCTGAAACTGGAGGAAATCTGCAGAACAAGAGTAGAAAAATAACAATAGAGGATGGTGTCAGGTACATAGGTTTTGCTAAAGCAGGAAAGATGTGTGTGTGTGTGTGTGTGTGTGTGTGTGTGTGTATTCTTAAGTTTTCGCGGGTACTTACATGTATGGTATTCAGCTTTGTTTGGGTATTTTCCCACGTCATTGTAGTTGTGCTTTTAAAGTTGTAGCAACGTTTCAGCAGAATCTCATCTGCCATCATCAGGCATCATCAGAAGACTGATGATGGCAGATTAGATTCTGCCGAAACGTTGCTACAACTTTAAAAGCACAACTACAATGACGTCACACACATACATACATACACACACACACACCATGGCAAAATATATTTTTTTACTTTTCCAAAGGAAGCTAAACATGGTTTAAATATTTTTCTGAATGTTCTATTTAAGGTTTAATACTGCCATGTGCAAAATTTCTAAAAGAGATGCATTCTTTATTAATCACATTTCCTTAAATCACATGAAATAACAAATTATTGGAGCACTGATTATTTTCAACAGCATAATTTCACATGGCAAATATATCAGCAAAATCAAACACCCTGTTATAAGGGGCAGCTTAGCTTTTTAAAAATGTTTCAGCACAACATACAAATCTTCAAAGGTTTATAATATATTTTTAAACAATGCAATATAAAACATGATTGAAACAAAAAAAAATATTCATCATATATTTCTAGGACAATCCTCCAGTGGCAGTTATTAGATGTTACACATCACATGTTGTATACAGTTACATACACACACACACACACACACACACACACACACACACAAAGACAGAAACTTTCATTCTCTTGCATTTACTATGAATCTAATGAACCGCTATTAAGAACAACTTTTTGCTTAAAGTAGTAATTGTTGCTGAAAATATATAATTATTTTATATGTAGTTGTTTCCATAGTAACACAAACAAACAATGTAATTACATAGCAATCTCATTGGATTATTAAAGTTGAGTCAATAACTATTCTTTTGCTACAGGGAATGTAGTGTTAACAGTCACCTGGCTTGCAGTCTTCTACCATAATGGCAAATCAAAGATTTCAAAACTGCAGGTATTCTGGACTTGATAGTATCAATAAATTTTTCTGTGACTTTCTTATGCTTTATTTCAGTTTTTTTTAAATTAGTATACAAGGGGAGGGGGGAATGCTAAATCAGTTTTTCTAAACATTCTTTATGAGCTATATGCTAACATGCTAGCTGACTTCCCCAACATAAATTTCAGGAGATGTCTTCCACCTAAAAAAGGTTTAGCAAAATATATTTTCTCCTTCCAGGCAAATGTTGCTGCATTACAGTACAGTCTGCTGCATTCAATGGTGGTGAACATCCTGGAGACACAGCATGGTTTTCTTCTAACTTTAGCACGCAGAGTCATATTCAAGTGTTGTCAAGAGAGTATAGGATGTGACTGTGTGTTTGTGAACACTGTGTGTTACTGTTACGCTTTCTTTTTGCTATAGAAGTTGTACATGGGATTTGTGCTTTGTCAGAATTCCGATGGTCTTCTCAGAACACACTACTCTTGAGCACAACAATTTCCTTTAAAACAAAAATAAAAACAAACCACACACATAACAAGTAAAGAACTGGAGCCCTCTAATGGATTTAGTGCAGGATACAAATTTTTGCCTCACCCTATATACCATGCTCATTGGCCTTCCCTTGCCCCAGGGGGCTTGTGCTATTTTCTCCCTGTCCAATTAAAGCTCAGAGAGAAGACATAAGCTATTTACTTTCACCAGAGCAGCTTCTGTTCTACAAAGTGGATGAGCTTTGCTTGTAATCGCTCAAAACAACAGAGGTGTAAGTTGCATTGGGAGGTATGCAAAGCACTGATTCGGACACAGGAGAACTGGGCACAGAACTGCCTGAAGCCACTGAATCTCGAAAAGGAGATGGAGGTGTCAGTGCTGGTGAATCTTCTAGAGTCAGTTTGCTGGTGACCTGCTCCTCTTCTTCCTCTTCCTCCTCCTCTAAATTTCCTGGCCTCTCATACACATAATCTTGGATAAGCTTAAACTTTTCGTTTTCTTCTTCCTCCTCTTCCTCTTCCTCCTCCTCTTCTTCTTCTTCAGATGGGAGTGAAACTGGCTCTTTATTGAAAGTGCCCATTTGTAGTGGCAATATCTGTGGCTGCATTGCTGGAGGGTGATATATGGGCCTCAGTCCGTTTCCTGCACCAGACACGGGCATTACAGCATTGAAATCAGGAATGCCCGTGGCAAATTGGTTGACCACACCGTGCAGCTGCTCCATAATGGATCGCGGTGGTGGAAGCGGGGGCGGGGGTGGTAAGACTTTGGGACTCTGTATGTCCTCTGCTGCTGCCTGTAGTGGAGGCATCACCATCACTCTTCTGTGTACAACCATGGAAGGACTACTCATTTGGCTGAAGTGCACTGACTTGCTTGCTTCCTCCTCCACAACATTGTACAAAGTCTTACTGCTGATGTCCGAAAAAGTGAGGCTCTTGCTTGGACCTGGATAACTTTTAGTTAGGGGCTTGATCACTGCTGTCTGATTGCATCCTAGCTCCTTATTCTTCACATGCACTGAGAGCCTGTGCCACATATGTTGTCCCTTGGGAATTTCTCTTCCACCTGGTTCAGACCATGACACAGACTTGCCATTAGAACTGGAAATAAAATAAAGATGCGTTTATTTACATTTCCATAGGCAGATACAGGCAACCACAACACATTCATTCTAGGAAATCCCTCTGTTTTGCAGTCTTAATTCCTCCGAGAAGCAACTATAGTGGGAAACAGCAACTGTTCTTAAATCTAGAAGTCTGTAAATGAAGGAAAATTATTCCCTGTTAGTTTCAGAGGTTGAGCAACATGTTGCAGAATATGCATGGCTGCCATCAGACACTGAAAGTAATGGAACTTCATTCCCTCCCCCTGTAATATTAGTAAGGAATAGCAAATGAACTGATCCAAGATTCTCTATCCCCAGTTTTTACAGAAGATGCAGAGAAACATTGACAGCAATGGCCGTAACAAGCATATTGTTTCTTTAGTAAATGTTGTTAGGGTGAATGGGGTAAAACATTATTAATTATAAACAGCAGCTTTCTTCAACCTCTCTTTCAAAAGTAAGCAGCCTCTACATTTAAGGAGGAAAAGGGAAGGTGAATGGGAAATGGATACACTCATCTCCTGCTCTGTTGTCAGCCTATGATTCTGAACAAACATAAAATAAGTGCATGCACATAAGACGTAGTTTCCAAAAATGATGCAGAAACTCAACTTCAATCTTTAAAAAGCATTCAACTTTATATTGTATAATCTTTAGTCTGTCACATTTGATTTGCATTTCACGTGCAACAATTTCCACAACACATAAAAATTTGTCTGGTCTGGTAAAAACAGCAGTACAAAACTTTCTAGCTCCAGTTTGTGGATGAGTGGAATTGCAGTATTGCATATTCTCGTTCTTCTATTGAATTTTCTCCATGAGAGTCATGGAGGTACATGGGATTTGTGGACCTTTCTCACGGCACATACATTATACTGTTGTACTTGCATACATACTGTGAAAAACCAATGTCACCACCTCTATGACGACAAATATTTTAAAACACAAATGCAGACATAACTAATACCTGTAAGTTTGTTATACGTTTAGTAAGTATAAATGACCTTAAATACTTGGGGGAAAGACATCAAAAGCAAAGACTGTCTGTTTCTTTGCTCTAGGACTCCCACTATTTAGAAAAAGGATATGGAAGCATCAAGAAAGTATTGTAACGAGTAAGAACCGAAACAACAGTGTAGGAACACAAGACATCAAGCAAGATTGTTACTCTGAGAATTTCTTGGGGTGATGATGGCTTACCAGCTGTATTAATTACAATGACAGCTTTAGATGGTTAGTGAAATTTTTTTTAAGGTACTGTATGTTATATTATTAGACATTGTGGGAGCGTGGGATAACAAAACAGTCCTGTAAAATAGCTTTAAAAGGCTGGTATTTCTGTTGTTTTTTCCTGTATTACATGGAAGTAAAATATTTTATTCTGAACAATGGACTGAAATGTGAATGTGTGTGTGTGTGTGTGTGTGTTCTGCTGCAGGGTCTGTGATGCTCAGAGTAGATATTGCAATTATCCTATGCTATATAAGCTAGATTTATGTAGGTATATCTATTTAGTACCTTCTGATGCAAATCACTTGCTTTGCAATGCACTATAGCTTCAGTACATTTCTCAATAGCTGATGGCATACTGTTTGGCAATGTAAATGCTGACTAGATAAATTTATATTTTATCTAGTGCTGTAGTTCTATGGATTGAAGCTGAGTTATTTCTCAAATGAAGGCCTATGTAGACATGCTCAGTTAGAAATAAATCAAGGCACAGAATGCATTTTACATGGAAATTTGACTCTAGCTGCTATTATGTATAAGGCTGAAGTCTTTTAAATGGGTTTCACTGGGTTATTTAGTTGGGAAAGCTTGGTGGAAAGCTTCATGTACAGGATTTATATATTAGAGTTATTGAATTTTTTTTCTGTAGGAGAAAGTGAACCAAACTCCAAATTTAGATGGGCAAGGACTTAGTTCAAACAACGTATCTGAAAACAGGCCCAAGATGCTCTGTAAGATCCATGGAAATGGATTTTATACTTTTGTATAAGTATATAATATAACATAATATAATATAAAACACACTGCAATACAGAATATGTTGAACAGTAATACTGATTAATGCATATAAAAACAACACGTTTAAAACATAACATATGTAAGTCGGTATACACACACAGACATACATTCTCTCTCTCTCTCTCTCTCTCTCTCTCTCTCTCTCTCTCTCTCTCTCCTTTCAGGTCAGTGGCTGACTCCCAGGCAAGAATTTATAGAATTACAGACTTATACTCCATTTCTGATTTTTTTCTCTCTCTTGGCAGCATCTTCAGAACTTTATTTTAAATCAATGTTGACAGGAACTCCAGTTCCTAATTTTTTTTTCATGAGTATTATATCACAGCAAAAGTTTCAGCGATGACTTCAAACTTGTCCACAATGCTGATGGCTAATAATATACCTATTTCATTGGATTCAGTTTTGTGTGTCATACAATTACCATTGTCATCTGACATACAAAGTAGAATCCAATGAAATGGGTACATTATATGTCATATAATACTGAGAACGGTTGATAATTGCTTTTAAAATTTCCACTGATGTTCCTTATATTGGATGGTTTGTACAGAATAACCTTATTTTTTCAGCAGCATTTTTCCCTCTGTCTTACTTTCTGTCTTACTTCTATCCTGCCTTACTTTCTTCTCTGTGTTTAATTTATTGCTCTTTCTCCCCTTAGTCTTCTCAAAATAGTGAAAGGAGATTCAATTCCATCAACATGATTTGAAATGTATCCTTTACTGCATAATCTATGTGGGTTCCCCCATGCAACTGTTTTTTTAAAATGATAGTTTTTCTTGCTATATCATTGTTGTACTTAATAAATAAGTTTAACCCAGATCTAATCTGTGACTTTTAAAAATTGCTTAGTTGCAAAACTTTTAATGTGATAGGAAAGAAGAACTATATAATAAGTAATGATTACGTCCCACTGATTCATTTTTTTTGTCTTCCAAAATTCTAATATGGCCAACTACATGAAGTCATGTTCATCAGTGAGTAATTTTTGTATTTGGCCTACGATTGAGTATTTCTGAAGCCTGCAGTAGACAGGAAGAACTGGACACAGCCAGGATGCAGCTGAAGCTGATAGAGAAAATGGACAGCTGTCAGTAAAAGAAGACCCGTTCAGCTCCATGCAAAACCACGAACAAGAAAAACTGTGGGCTAAATTATGGGAAAGATAAAATGAACAGGTAAACTATTTTTTCCCTTTTGCAGTTCAGCCAGAAGATGTTGAAGTGACAACCATGAAAAACAGAAAAAAGTTCCTCCAAAAATTATTTGACAGTGTCCTTGAAAGAATATATGGACGAGCAGGTCAAGGCAGTGTGAAAAATGGGACACATACACGACTTTTCTATCATTAATGGCATGCACCATTATTAGAAATGAGAAAGTCATGAGAAAGAGAAAGCAATGGGTTAAAAAAAGATACACCACTGTTTGTCATGCAGCTTTTCTTACACATTCACTGCAGTTTGGGGTTTTTCAAAGCTGCACATGTGCCGACGGACACTGGCTGGTGGGCGAGAATTCTGGCTGCCTCTTCCTGAGGATTGAAAAGAAAAAGATACCCAATGAGTGGTTATCCACATCCACATTCAGGGCAGTTGTACCACTCAGTAGGGTGCTGTGTTCCACCTTCCTTGGACATCTTGCCATTTCTCCACCATGTCTGCATTTACTCAGGTTACAATTCTATGCTTGCTTACCTGGGAGAAAGCCTTACTAAACTCAAAGGGACTGCTTTCCAAAGAGATTTGTGCAAGAGTTGCACAGGTCATGGTTGAACTGCTTCCTTGGTTCCACACTTACTCCATAGCTCTTTACACAACATTCTTCTCTCGATCACCTTCCTTATGTGCCTAAAAGCCAATGTGGAAGTGCAAATAACCTTTGAATAGGTTGAAATCTGTGCTCCCCTACAACACTGCCTGCAGGGGCACCCTTGACATTTAGCACTCTCACTGTGCTAAAATGGGAGAAAAATATTTCTTAACCTATTCAACCTCCTGAGAAAAATCAGAGTTTAAATGAAATGCAGCTCTAGCAAATGATTATAGTGTGGTGGGTAGATCAGAATACAGTACAGGTCCCCTTAAACAGTTTGTCTGGCTGCCCATGGTGAAGAAAAATTAATCCCAGGCAAATAAACATTTTATTTTTCTTCTTCACTGGGTCCAGTAGTTCTTAATCTTTTCTTCACCATGGACCAGTGGTGGTATTCAGCAGGTTCTGACCAGTTCTGGAGAACTGGTAGTGGAAATTTTAAGTAGTTTGGAGAATCGGCAAATACCACCTCTGACTGGAGATTTTACAGTATCCTTCCCCTGCCACGCCCAACAAGCCATGCCCATAGAACTGGTAGTAAAAAAATTTGAATCCCACCACTGCCATGGACTTCTTTTAAATACCTTGGTGGCCATGGACCATGGCCACAAATCCCCAAGACTTAACTCAAGACTTAAATCATAACATTTCTTCAAGCTTTTGTGGACCACTTGTGATGACATCACAGCTCTCCCAGAGGTCCATGGACCACTGATTGAGAACCACTGACTGGGACTATTGATTCAGCTGAAGGAAATAGGTGGATGGCTAAGCCAGAGAGATATAAGTTGGTTAATAACTTTTGTGGATTTTTCTGCATGTAATGTCGCAAATTTATTTAGGGATTGGTATAACGTATGGATGCTTCTTTGCCTATGGACTCCAAAAATTATTTGACTATGGACTGATTATTTCAAAAGAATGTATGTACAATATAATGGTTATTTGAAGAGTTGATAGCTTTACATAGTGTACAGGGTCCTCCATTCCTTTATCACATTTTCATCATTTGCTCTTGTCAAATGCCCTATTTTGGCCCACATTAATGAATTTGCTAATCAATGATTTGCTAGGGAAAAAAATAGTTATACCACTGTCAGACGTGTTATGAAGATGACAAAAATAGATGAAGTAAATAGAAACTACCACTTA